TAGATAGACAGAGTTTTGACCTCTGTCTTGCACACTGGGAAAATACTCAGCCAGTGTGATCCAAGCCATCTAGTATTCCAGATATTAGCAAGGTATCCAATCAACCTTGAGTTTTAATCCATAACAAAGTATTCAAAAGTTCCCTGAAGTACCTTCTTCCTAAGATAGGAGTTGGAAGTTTTGAGGAGCTTTTCCACCTCTCCTGCAAGGTCTCTGCACATTTCTGAGGAGCCCATGCAGCCAAGAGTGCAGAGTGCCAGCCCCTGCACATATTGCGTGCTGTGATTAAGGTCACTGTAAAGGAGAACAAAAAAAGACAATCAGCATGCTCACAGAGAACCTGAACACACAAGAAAAGGCATCTATATCTACAGTCATCTAACCAGCTGCACACATGGCCCAGAAGAACTCTGCAGATTCTCAGCTATTTGGGAGCATGACATAGGAGCAATAGCAGCTTTGAGTGCATGTACCACAGGGTTTGCTACTACTTCTACTTAGAATCCTCAATTATGAAGATAAAACACTTGGTTAAAACTATCAGGTGGGTATCCAGGGATCGAGCTGAGAAGAAGGAAGACCACACAGAATTCCATTAAACTTCTAAAGTAAAGACAAAATGTTGTATTTTGGAACTTGCATGCAGAAAAGAACCTAATATGAAGTACAGTCCTGCAGTGACTCTAGGCTGTCCCAGTTTAAACATGTTCTAGGATAGGCTTTAGCTTCTGCACTTAAAAACCAAACAGTATATAAAAATCAATGTAAAAATATCTTCTATCCTGAGTGAAAACCACAAACCCCACCACTCACACACCTTGAAAATAATCCATACAGGAATTTTGTTTAGCAATCCTAACTATTCATATGCCCCAGGAAGTTGCGAAAAGCGGTCAAGAAGTTAAACCTCCTAACAGTAGATGCTATTAGTGAGGCCAGCTCCCTATGTCACACTAAGTACAAGACAATGACATAGCTTTCACATGGCAATCCCATCAGCCTTTAAAACGGATTTCTACACTACTTTTCCATCAGACTATTTGTTACTCATGTCACCACAGTATCCAGGATTCAATGTTGAAGAAAGTAAAAAATACTGTTCCTGGTTTGGGAAGCGAGGAGAGCTGGGGATTGCATGATGGGAGAGCAGGGGAAACTAGTGGTATGTAATGCGCACAACACACAGAAAAGCAAGAGACAGTGTTCTGGTTGTAACATCAAGCAGCTACGGCAACATGCAGATGAAGGAACAGACAGCACATGCCACTAAATGAGTTGGTTTTTTGTCTCCTTCCTTTAACAAATTTTTGGCAGCTATATAAAGCTGTGTGTATAGCAAGTATGTGCTTCACAAGGGTGCCCACTTTTTTTGTATCAAAGATCTAGGTCTTGCTATAAAATAATGAAAGACAATGCCATAAATCAAATACCTTAATGTCTAGATAAAAGCAAGACAAAGTGGTAGATACAGAAGCCAAAGCAGAAAGCAATAAACAACCCACTGAGGTGATGGGAAGCCATCCATCAGTTTTGTTCAGCTTCAGTCTGACCCATTTTCAGTTCAAACTCACTACACCCTTACCACACAAATTCATTTTAGCATAAACAATCAAAAGAGGTGTTAACCTAGCAGTCTGGTTCTAATGGAGGAACCTCATAGGTATGACATTTCAATGAAAAATCTTTAGCCAAATGTCTCTTCTCTCCTGGACACTAGGTCCAAAGTTAGCAGATCCTCAGGCCTGCAGTTTTGCCGAGTTTGTTTCCAAGTACTTTGAGGCCACAGTCTAACTGAAGATCAATACTTTACTTGCTAATATCTGGGAGGCTTATGTTCCAGAAGTAAATAATAATAAAAACAGACACACCACACACAACCAAGCAGGCATTTGGATAAATCAACTAGACCCCAGTTGTTCCACTCCTGCTCCCATCCATCTTGAAAAGGAGTGTTATTGGAAATGCACTAATCATCTACTAAACGATAATGTAAAATGGTCCCAGTTTAATAGCATTTTGCTGAGAGGAAAAAAAAGTAAAAATAAAAAGATTATTTCCCATTCCCTCTTGTCTGATTTCAGCAAGATGCCAAGCAGACAGCACATCCCATGTTGCTGCCTTGCTTCCAAGGAAAACCATTCATCATGACCGTTAGGCCAACCTTAAAAAGAAAGCAGGATACACAGCCTTGATCCTTGAAGTCAGGCAACTCTTCAGAGCTTGTCAGCAGAAGTAAACAAACATAGGACAACATGGCTGCAGCAATAGATATGACTGTGACATATGATGGCCAGTACAGCCTACAAAGTTTTAACAGTATTATAAAAACATCCTGATTCAATCATATTTAAAAGGTGCATGGACTTTTATTGATGCTGCATTACTGCTCATCTGGCTCTTTCCCACTGCAAGCTGGAAGATAACTAATTTACAGAAATGGAAGAGTGTTCTTCACAACAATTAAAGGTCTTCTGAACTGGCTGAGCAGCTTACTGTGGTCATTTCATCTTCCTGATTTTATTTATCTTAACATGACCTCCAGAAACACGTACTACCATCCCGTAACGGTAGTTATATGAAGTGCTGTTTGCCACATACACCTCTTCAGGACCAATGCAATCTTATATTCTCTTCCCTCTAAGAAAGCTAGACAGGATCATCCAATACAGTACAATACTAGAACAGTCTTGTACGGTCGACAGCATACAACAAATTGAAGATACCAGTTTTCTAACACAAGGGAAAAAACCTAAAGTACTCAAAATATCACTGTCAGGAGGGTACTTTCAGATCCTGAAACCTCAAAGCATGTGTTGATGGAGAGAGAGGTGGTACCCTTACTTCTTGATGCAATTGGTCATAAGAAGATGGACATCCTGTCTCTCATCCAGCAGCAACATGGCACCTAAATACCCAATGCGCTTGTCTGTGAATTTCTGAGAGGCAATGAGCTTGAGGCACTCCAACTGGAAAAAAAAAAAAAAAGGAAAAAAAGAAAAAAAAAAAGACAGAATTAGCTTAAACTACTTCTTAGCTAGAGGAGAAACAGTTTGAATTTTGATGTTTACTCATTTAGGTCTCTCAGAATGCATTTTTAAAAGTATATTTTATTCCCATTTTGGTGATGTGGAAAACAAAGAAAGGTTAAGTGACCTGCCCAAAGCTCCCAGCCAGCCAGCAGAAAAGTCATTAGCAGCTCCTGCATCTTGAAGTAGCCAGACACTGTTGGCCTTCCATGACCTCAAATATACCAGACGTGTTTATGTCAGATCACAAAAGTAAAAGATAACATATTTATAGAGACAAGAGATCCATGATTAAAAACAAAACAGTAAAGGTCTGGAAATTTAGATCACATGTCATGTTTGATATGCACTGGAAACTTCTGGACCAGGCTTAAATGGGTTCATCTACCTACCAGAGAGAGGATCAATGCTCTGTAAGTTGTCAAAACCATTTTTTTTTTTTTTTACGATCTGTAACTAACTTGCTAGCTAGGTAAACCTTAGATACAGTCAGAGATAGTTAAGTTTTTGTGCTGCTCTGTAATCTCTATTTGAACACCCGAAGTTTGACTAAAATCATATGCATTGTAGCCACTACAAGCTTCCCTTTCACCATGTAGAAAGGTCAACTGTGTTCAATAGCATAAAGGAGATCCTGAAGATAACATGCATCACTGCCACCAGCACTCAGCTGATTAAGAATTTAATTGCTAACCCATTTTTAAACTTAACACTTTCTTACTGTGAAAAGAGACATCAACCACAGAGATATTCTGACATTACTATGCACTAAAATATTTTTCTCTAACAGATAATTAATCAAGTACAATCAATCTCTACTTTCCAGACAGGAAGTAGCAGAAATGGCTTCTCAAAACAGGCAAGAGACCTACCCCTCACAAACACATCCTGTAAGTCTTTACAAATTAGCTAGGGCAGCAAGTAAGCATACACAACGGGTTTAAGGAGGGATCAGACAAAGCTTTCAAACAGATCAATTTTAAAGGAAGTAAAGGGGGCATGCACAGGCAAAAATACAGGGCATCATGAAAAGTTTTTCATGGTCCCTAGCTATAGGGAAGCTTGAACAGGGCAACAGACACAGGTGAGATGCAAGAAGCACACACACGTCAGGAGGGTGAAGATGTACAGGATACTGATAAGAAAATTAAAGTTGATGTGCCAGAGAAAATAAGTGCTATGGCCTAGCCACTGACAAGTTCTCACAACTGCATGGCATCAGAACATACAACTCAACTATGCAAGAAGTTGTCACATATGAACACCCAGCTAGTGCAGGGTGACAAACTGATAAGAAAAAGCTTGAAAGAAAGTGAGTTCAGTTTGCTAGATTTAGAGGGGCTGAAAATCTAGAATAAAGAAACACCTCTGAACAATGAGATCAGTCATCCACAAGGATAACTGAACTTGCACAAATGTGCAAGATCAACCAGGGATAAGGTACAGAACACTAGATATTGACCTCTTATCTTCCCAGTGCTTTCTGTAAGAGAATAAGGTACCTCTGAACCAACTTTCTTCCACAGGTTTACAAGATGCTTTCTTATACAACCCTGTGCAAAAATGCAATGTAGAATTGATGACATCTAAGCTACACTGTAAGAGCCAAAGGCAGAAGACAAACAACTAAGAAAAAGCAGAAGAAAACTAATGACTGCAACAGATACTGTAAGATATATTTTAGTACTTTTGAATTTGAAAGATATTATTGAAATTTACCCCGTGAAAGGCTGATGAGTTCTTGTTTCACTTGTATACAAATACATGCAAACTAGCTTCATGCACAGCAATTCGAGAAACATGATCAGCTGAAGCTCTTATTAGGTCTAATTAGTGGAAGAGATCTTTATACCATTATATCTATTTCATTCAAAGGAACAAATAAAATCTGCTACATCAGTACTGTAACAGATACATCAGTAAAGCTGGATATGATACAGGCATATAGCCAGACAACAACTTACCCAAGTTTTTACTGACATAGTCACTCTTCCAACTGGATTTTTTTTGCAAGTAGAAATAATGACAATAATAATAATAATAAAGTTATTTAACCATCTGCCCAGGCTACCTGCCACCTTATAAACTTGCACAAATGGCCTTTGCACATGCTCAAGAGACAGCTTGCCATCCAGCGCATCTCAGCATGCACTGGCTAAATATGGTGCTCATGCTCATATTTCTGTACAAGATATCCTGGGTCAAAGTTGAGGATCCCTGGCTTGGAAAGAAGTAGATCAACCATCCACTACTTCTAACATCTTCTCTAAATTCTCTTTTATTACTGGTTACCCCATCCACACTGTTAGCTGAAGTCAGATGTCTGCTTACATCTTTAAGAGAGACTGTCTAACACAGCCTATGGCTCTCTTCTGTTTTTCACCAATACCTATTTCCTGCGTATTTATCCTGTCACTCTCAGAAACTGCCTGTCTACAATGTTGGACTGTCTATCTACAAGACTCCACTGCTGGAACAGCATGTGTCTTCAACAGGTCCCCAACTCACACAAACTATACTCCACCTACACAACATTAGCACTTTGAAAGATTCCTTCCAGTTACAAGCATTGAGGACATGCAAAGGTCTGCAACTTACTCACTTGGAGAATACTTGTTAAAATCCCTTCTCAGCCTTGGGCCCTATACCTTCCTGAAAGTGTAGCTGATAAACTACATGAGAACCAACGCCATCAAATGAAGTACTCTGTTCCCGAAACAGTCAGCATAGATGCTTCTGTTTGAGATGTAGCAACCCTGGCAATAATAGATATTGAATAATCTGTTTTATCCTTCTTCCACTGAGAGTGAAGAGGTAATTTACCATTACTGACCAAAGCAGAAACTGAAAAATTATTAGATATCTGGTCTAATCTTCCCTATATGGAATTAAATACTTGAGTAACAAAATAAAATAATCCCAATAAAATTTAAACATGTTCCTAACATAGGTCAAATGTAGAAATTCTAGATGACACTTATCTGTAACACTTTTAATTCTTCTTGCAGCTCTTCGATACTTAGCCTTAATTTTTGTGACAGAAAGTTTCTCTTGGACCAGGGAGCCTGGCTATGTGAAGTGTTAAGAACAGGATAATACACAAATTCACTTGCTCTTACGCAACAACTCGTTATTCTGTGAGAAAAGAATCCAATGATGTAGAAGTAAGATGATGCACTTCATATGCAATTGCACAGCCCAGACTCACTCCCTAACACTTAAGACAATTTGGAATTTGATTTCAGTGGTTTGAGTTTACTGTTTCAGTGAAACACGTCAGGATTGCTAAATCCAATCATGAATGGATAGACACCCAAGAGATGAAGCTACTTTAAGGGATACAACAATTTGACTTTTTATTTAGCTTTATGGAAGGCCTAGATTAGATTACTACTAACAGGACACTTACTGACTTCTAAGCAAAACAGACTATGCCCCAAAGACTAAGCAAAGTTCAACTTGAAGGACATCTTGTAGATCAAGAACTCCCATCTTCCTGTCTCCCTTTTCCATAATCTACCTGTGTCAAAAAAAGCGTGTCAAAAAGAAGCCAAGAGATGGAAAACTCATACGAGCATTCTCCAAGTCACCTCACTAAGATGGGGATAAGGAACACCAATTTCTTATTGCTGGGAACAGACCAGCTCTTATCTGCCCAGAATAGATTGCTTTAGAAGGAAAAAGGTATAGAACCTCCTTTGAAGCATTGGTTATTTTCCATCAGACACAGAACTCCAAAGTGCTGTTTTGAACCCATCTAGAAATATCCATATGTACTGGACTATGGTTTAAGAACTACTGCTCTGCAGAAACATGGGTGGCAAGGAGCAGACAGTCTGGCAGAAGCAGACTAACCCGGAGTTTCATAACAAAATATGTAAGTCTCCTAACAGCAGATCTCACTAACAAAGTCAAAACTAACTAATGTAGGTTCAGAACATATGTGAAGACGGACCGCAAAACATCCCAAAGAGCAGACAGCGAAAGTGCAGCTAGGAATGCTCTGAACAAGTCAACGTGCCCAAAACACACAAAGCAGGCTGGCATATGCACATAGCACAGCAAGCACTGAACTCTGACGTACCTGTCCAAAATGTGCAGGGTATCCCAGCATGTGCATATACAGCAGCTTTGCCACATTTCTGCATCGGTATGTGTTATCTTCCTCTCGGAAAGATGACCGGATAGCAGCACATTCCTTTTGGATCATCTCACGCTCTTCTGCCTGGGTTCTTGCTGTCCGGATGGTCCGGATCAACTCCCGCAGTCTGATGGGGGCTGGCATCCTCTGGGAGAAGAAAGAGATCTGTAAACCTTGTACTGTACCTAAAGGCTTCATAATGGTCTCATACTTTCACTTTTTTTTTTTTTCTTTTCTCACCCTACAATTATCTAGGTAGAAGAATTAAGAAAATGTGGACTGCTTCAGTAGCACGGTTAAAAGTAAACTTGAAAACCAGAGGAATTCATTGAACCTCACATTTGCTTTTCCAGAACATTAGAAACAGGAATTGCTATGCTTTGAGCTAGCTGTCAGGTGAACACAACGTGACTCCCCACCTGAAACAGGCAGAAATGGCACTCTGCAAGGTATGCTCTCATATTCACATCATCTGCCTCTCTCCAGAAAAGTCAGGCTCCAAGGAGAGTTGATCCCAAAATCATGACAGCTTGGGACAGAAATCCTCTACAAAAAGCAGTGCCGTTTAATAATTTGCACAAAGTTTCATGCAAGTGTTTCAGATAGCCATGCTTCAAAAATCCTGCAAACTGTGCCAGACTTCCTTCTAAGAGGCTTCAAAGTCAGCAGAAAAAGCAGATGGAAGAGCAATCCTAGTTGTGTGGATATTTCAGATAATCTTCTTTTAAAAATAAATAAATCAAGTTGGCACCATCCCTTTATTACACACCAAACAGAACAATCCTTTCCAAAACGAAACCCTAAACTAAAGCTGCCGGGGGAGGGGAACCTCAATCCATCCCACGCCTACCAGTTTAATGCCAGTGCCAGCAATAAATGCCCAGAGCCTGGAGAAGGATCACAGGTCAGCCGGAGAGCACCTGAAGAACAGCACAAAAGAATTCCAGCCACTCCAGCCAGTAAGTCAGCTTCATCTGGGGGCCTG